TTCTTTTCTTTCTCTCTTTCAATGTACCTGGGCGTGTGTTTTTTGTTCGTCGCGTACAAGCGATCTTTATTTGTTGTGACTATTGGAGTCTTTTTTTCTGCCTCTTTGTTTTTTTTTTTTTTTTTTTTGATTAACAGGGAAGAAGATTTTCAGCAAAAAACATTCATCCGCTGCATAATCATTTTCTCTCTAGTGAGACGTTCTAACAACATCACTGCATCTCGGATCCTTGTTTCCGAAAATATTAACATTAATAGGCGTAAATTCGCTCGCTCATGTTTTGCAATTGATCGTCTGTGTGCCGCCTCCGCCACCAAAAGACGACATTGCTGCTTTTGCGCCAGACTCGGCTGCCGTCGTCGGCGCTGCTCTATTGCGCGTTGCCGACGCTCTTCCTGCTCTGCGGCCGCTGCGGCTGCGGCTGCCGACGTGGTGGAGGCGCCTGCTGCCTTTGCGGTTGTTGTTGCTGTCGCTGATGTTGTGGAGGCGCCGAACGATCGTCCCTTTGTGCCTCTTTTCCTCGCGGCCGCCGACGTTGTGGGGTGCGGGACGGCGGCGGCGGTGCGGGGCTGGCGGGGGGACGGCGGGAGGTCGACGAAGAGCCGCCAGTCGATGGGGCCGCGCCGGCCGCCGGGCGGTTGTTGGGCGGTGCGGGCGTGGTGCTCGAGGGCGGCCTCGTAGGCGGCGTGGAGGGCCTGAAAGCGTTCCTTCGCGTTGGCGTCGCGGCAGCGGTCGGGGTGGGTGGCCACCGCCAGCGTGCAGTACGCCGTGCGGATATCATCATACGAGGGATAGGCAGAGAGGCCAAGGACACCCCACGCCCGCCGAATCCCACGAGGCTCACGCACTTCCAATACCATTTGCTCTTGTTTTTGTTTTTTTTTTTTAATTTTATTTTTATAAAAAAATATATATATATATTTCTCCTCTCCCTGTGTGTGTGTGTGAGGGTGAGTGTATATGTGTATGTATAATGCTCTCTCCCACCAACTTACAGTCCCCCAAGAGAGACCTTATGTATATGTATATATGTGCAAGGATCTATTTATGTATATATGGAGTGTTAAATCCACAGACAGAATAGAAAACAAAAAAAAAAAGAACACATTACTCAAAACACATGGCTATTTCACAATAGGTCCATATATATATTAGTTATATGCAACACTGTACGAAAACAAAAAAAAAAAAGAAATACAGGCAACCAAAGAAATACCAGAGAAAAAGAAATTAGAATCTGGTAACACTTATCAGATTCCACTTGGGTAAACTTTCAAAGATCATTCACCACTCACACACACACACAGATACAAACAACAACAACAACAACCATACTCGTTGATTTTTCTTTTTTTGTTTGTTTATCTGTCTCTCATTTTTTTATTTTCCCCCATCAACATCTCTGTATGGGTGTGTGTGTTTTTGTGTATGTAAGAAAGTAACTTAGCGATTTCGTACAGCTAAGGCCTGTAAAAAAATTCGCTGAGCACGCTGTCGTCCCATTTCCTCTGGGGTAATAGCAGAAGAACTTTCCTGTTTAGCAATATCATCATTATTCTCACTCTTTACTGGATGCATTCCATCCTCAGTGGACTTCCTTATCATTGACTGAGGCATCATCTGATTCAGTAGTGCACTCTGCAGACGTTTCAAAGTTGCCTCTTCATTAACTCCAACTTCAATGTAATCAGCAACTGCACTGAGAAGTTCTGAATCCATTGCTGTACTAGAGGTTACATGATGCCTTTGAATTTCAGCATCCGCTGCGGAGAGCAGCTGCAATAACTCCTCTCGGGCATTCATTCTTAAAGAGGCTTGTAGAATAGAATTAACACGCCCACAGAGATACAACATATACATAAAAAAAAAACAAAAAACAAGAAAGAAAATATATACATAATAAGAAATAATACAGAATACTCAAGATTGAGAACAAAGCAACAAAACAATAACAAAGAGAAAAAAAAGTATAGGATTTATAATTAAGAAGAATAAATTGGTTTGGTTTTTGAGTAAAAAAGAGTGAAAAAATAAAAAAATAAATAGAGACTTCTAAAATGTAAAGGAGTCCCAAATAGCCTCACGCTCACGTTCTTCTTTTTCTTCTTGCATAGGAGTAAAGAAGGAAATAGCTACCTCAAGCACACGCCGATCCGATTCATGAATCTCAGCTAGAGAAGTAGGTGGGATACTTCTTGTATTCCCAATATCTACTGCACCTTTCCTGTTTCTAGCTTGTAATCTAGCTTTACGCTCTACAACAAGAAGTTTTAGTGCCCTTAATTCTATTTGTCGTCGCCAGTGTGCAAGTAAAATGAGGGCATTCTTAATATTTATATTATTAATATCGTAGCTGTAATTATTAATACTGGATACACATATACTGTTATCACTGGCAATAGTGTTATCTAATTGTGGCTGCAACACACTCTCACGAGGAGGCGTTGGAAAAGTAGTGAAAGGAGAAGGAATATGAGGTGAAAACGGAGATAAAAAATCATGTACACATAGTGGAGTAGCAGATTCTGCATTCTGTGAATACTCCAGTGACTCTACTTCAAGAGTGTTTGATATTGGAGCTCCACGAGAAGGTGTGGATGAGGCACTATTTAATGTGGTGCCAGACGGCGACTGCGGTACTTTTACTTTTAAAGCGCAGCAAACTCTACTGCATATTGCCCCTACAAGTGGACTCACCGTACGATTAGTCACTCTAGTGCGAATAGAACCAAATCGATCCATCTTCTCTCCTCGCATAGCCGCCAATCGATACTCTTTAAATCGTAAATGTGTAAAGATGGGAAAAATATGAGCAGACTCATCTAAACGACGTGAGACGTCCAACACGACTGGAGGGCGGCGGAAAAGCGGGAAAATTGTGAGGACTGCAGCCGTACTGCACGTTGTGCCTTGAAGTGTGAGATCGGGGATGATCTCATGTACGCGGCGGGCACAAATGATACTCGTCATGGCGAGTTGGGCATCTTGCAGAAAGAGAGAAAGTGTGTGCAGCCAGCGAAACACTAATTTAGTGTCATCCGCACGAATAATACAGCAGTGATGCTCTAAAGCTGCAGAGACAAAACCAGCCAGTTGTTTCGCTAACCCTATATTATTATTATTATTATTATTATTATTATTATTATTATTATTATTATTATTAGTATTAGTATTATTATTAGTAGTGGTATAAGAATTATTACTACTGTCTAATATAAGAGGAAATAAAGTATCACATGGACGAATATGTTGCCAAACTACACCTGCACGTAACCAACCGTTGATGTCTGCAGTAATCTTAGAAATATGACGTAACCATTCATGTACTACATCTACACTTTCACCATCATATCCATCGTTAGAAGGGTTATTACTATTACTATTACTACTCTTACTAGTGGCACTATTAGTAGAAGCATTGTTAGCTCTATTCCTTCTATTTTCATCCATAATATCCAGATATGTTTTCACTGTTTGATGTGTTAACAGTAAACGATCTCGTAAAGTAGGAAATATAAAATAAAGACGTGCATAGTCTTTAGATGAGTCAATTACAAAGGTTACAGCGCAATGTATCTGCAAATGCGGGAAAACCCCTCCAGAATGGGTTTCTCTCGCTTTAAAAAATAGTGTAACAAGTGCTAAACCCACTTCAGAAAGTAAAGTCATTTTTGATCGTTGAGAGACTAAACTGTTATCTGTATTAGAAGCATTTGGACTAGACATGGCATCCGAAGTTTCTTCCTCGCATGAGGAGATATCGAGTTTCTGTACAGAAAGAAGATCTTTCAAGACAATACGCTTAAGTCGTTCCAATAAAGATGGAGAAATACCTTCTCTAAATACTTGTTCATCTCTTGTTCGTATTCCATGCTGTGAATGAGAATCAATAAAAAAATAAGAAAGGACTTCTTGCGGAGTTCTTTCCAAAACCTGTAAAGCATCATCACATTGTAATGGAGATCTTCCTGAGGAGTATTCCTGCTCTTGCTGTTCTTGCATCTATATTATGTAGTTTCACTTTAATGTTAGATGATGACATGTGAAGCAGGTATGCCCACGTAGTAAAAAATAATAGACTACAGAATAATAAAGAAAAGAAAGGAAAAGAGAGAAAGGTGTAAAAACGTAGTGATATATATACAGACACAGAAAAACATATCGTAAGAAAAAAAAAAAACAAAAAAACTAAACACGTGTTTTTTTTTTTTTATTTTCTTTCTTAAAGGTCATCTGTTAGTATTGCAGTAACAAAGTATAAGGAATAATAAAGAAGCATATATCCCACCCATTCTTTGTTTAAATATGCAATAATGCCAAAGGGAGGCCATTCCGTGTAACGGCATAATCTGTTTCCCACAGCGAGAAGAAGGAGAATAAAGCAAATCGAGAAAACAAAACAAAACAAGGAAACTTCTTTCCTTTTTTAAATCAACAACAAGAACAACAACAACAACTGGGTATCACATATGCAAGTGAGCAATTGAAAACAATAGAAAAAGCAAGACACTTCAGAACGCACGTATATGTGTTTTTCCTTTTTTTTTTTTTTTTT